AAGCCCTAAAACCCTAAAAGCCCTTAAAACCAAAACCCCCAAAACCCTAAAGCCCGAAACCCCTCAACCCTAAAACCCTAAAGCCCTACACCCCTAAACCCTAAAACCCTAAACCCCTAAACCCGAAAACCCTAAACCCTAAAACCGAAAACCCTAAACCCCAAAACCCTAAACCCTACTGCTGCTACTGCTAAAACAACAACAGCAACAACAACAACAACAACTACTACTACTACTACGAAAATACATACACTACGACTACTACAACCACTACCACCATTGCTATTACAACCACCCCCACACCTTCATGGCTTCCGATTTCTTCTGCTTCCTCTGGGTCTCCTTCTCCTGCTCTGCCTGCTTGCGTAGCTTAGCCTCCTCCTTTTCCCTTTCCTTCTGTGCTTTCTCTTCCTCTCTCTTCTTTTCCCTGGCTGCTTTGGCTTCCAGCTCCTTAGCTGTTTCCTTTTTGCTCTTCCGATTCTTGCTTCTGGCGTCCTTCTTGCTTTTCTTGACCTTTTTGATTTTCTTGTCCTTTTTGCTCTTCTTGCCCTTTTTGCTCTTCTTGGCCTTTTTGCTCTTCTTGGCTTTCTTGGTACTGCTCGAGGAGCTCACGTCGTCACTGTCGTCAGAGCTGCTCTTGCTGCTGCTGCCCTTTGAGGAAGAGCTCGAGCTCTTGCGTTTTTTCTTCTTCTCACTTCGCGATCGCCTGTTCGATCTCATATCCTCCTCCTGATTCAAGGAAAACAGGGAGTCGAGCACTTCGTCATGCTCCTCACTTTCGGCCTCTTCGTCCCACACTCGGAACAGCATCAGCTGCTCATTCGAAGGGGCGTCTGGGTGCGGCTTAACATCCTCCTTCGCCATTTTGTCGTCCGACAGCTTGTTGGCAATGATTTCTTCGGCTGCTTCCTTTGATTGATACTTCTCAACCAGTTGCCGGAATGTGAGCCATTTCCGGCACCCTCGTTTCTTGCTGGAGTGTCGCTCTCTCAGAGAAATGACTAGGCTCGAACGGTTCCATTTGCCTTCGCAGGCAGTGTACTGCTCATACAAGATGGCCATTTTGTCTCGGCCTGGAATATTTATGAATATATGCGAAAACCTTCTAGAAAATTCCCCTAAACCCTAAACCCTAGAAATTATAATTTCTAGGACCCGACCCTAATAGGAAAGAACCCCCTCAGCAGCGAAGGAGCAGCCCCTGGCGCCCTCTGCTGCGATGCGAATCTCTTCTGGGGTGTTCGTGCCTGGACAGCAACAATCGGTTATCAGTGTAAGATATAGAATAGGTTTTTTTAGATTACATTGGGGGGATCTAAGAGCACTAGGAGAGGGAAGCGGTAGTCGTAGTAAATTGTGAAAAGTGTATATATATAATATATATAGCACGTAGAGCAGTAATGATGGTGCAAGCAGTAGCAGCAGCAGGAGGAGGAGTAGTAGTAGTAGTAGCAGCAGCAGCAGCAGTAGGGTTGAGGGGTTTAGGGTTTAGGCCTTTTAGGGTTTAGGCTTTAGGGTTTAGGGGTTTAGGGTTTTAGGGCTTTAGGGTTTTGGAGTTTCGACTCACACACTCACTCAAAGGTTTAGGGGTTTAGGGCTTTAGGGTTTTATTTAGGGTTGTAGGGTGTTAGGGTTTAGGGGTTTAGGTTTTTAGGGTTTTTTTAGTACTAGACTAGTACTAGGAGTAGTTGCATGTTGGTACTGGATATTTGCGGCTACACGTCCTTAAAGCGTGTGTGCGTGTGTGTGGGTGTGTATGAGTGTCTGGTACCCAGAATAAACGTGATGACATATCGCATCCCATAAAACCTTTTACGACACAAGGCAATTCCTGTAATTCGTGGCAAATCAGCTAGATCATGCAGGGTGGTAGATCCGTCTGGTTTAGACAAGTCAAGCACCAGTCCCGTGGTCCGGAGATCACGAGAACAACATCTATTGTTGATTGCGATGGTTATCGTAAGCTGAATCGTGGAGCTGCAGCCCCAAAGTCCTAGGGTCCTAGGGGGTTTATATACTATCACGTATATAGGGCTGGGTTAATTAGGGAAGGGATACCGATATAGCTTAGCTAAGATCGGGTGTAAACTGCAATCAGGTGGCTCATGAGGCTGCGATAGAACGAGTTCTTCTTGTTCTTTCGCTTCTGCTTGGCATCCTCATCTTCCACCAGCACAGAGCACTTGTTGCCCGACCGGTCTCCTGTGCCCAGCTTTTTCAAGGCCTCGGCAATGCGATCACTCATAATGAAAGCCTCAGTCTTCTCGGGTTCATCCGGCTTCTCGGATTCCTCCTCGGCGCTTTGCTTTGCTCTGATGCGGCGGTCGGGGGGGGTCGCGGATTTCTTGCTCCCACTGGTGTCCTTTGCCTTACCCTTGCCGATCTTGCCCCTGAAAGCTTTCTTGGAAGCCTTTGCCTTAGCAATAGATTTCTTCACCCTGGCCTTGCAATTCGAGGCTGGCTCGCTCGTCGACCGAAGGCGGCGGGCCCTCTCAAGCTTCTTGGGGGCACTGGTAGACTTGGCCTCGGCAGTCAGCTTCGCTTTCGGCTCAGGGGTTTTCAGCACCTCTTCGCTCTTTCCAGGGCTCAGCTTCTGAGACTTCTGAGAAGATGCCGGGGACGACTTGGCTCCTGGTGGGATGTAGTGTTTTCTGGATAGACTAGAGAATCGAAGAGTATTCGTAGCAGCAGCAGTAACAGTAGCAGGACAAGTTGTAGCCAAGAATCAGAGCCAGCAGCAACAGTCGTAGTATAGGAATGGTACTAGCAGTAGTGGTCATCGTCGTCCTTGTCATCGTAGTAGAAGTAGTACATGGAACAGAAGTAGTAGTAGCAGTAGTACTAGTCGTAGTAGTAGTAGTAGTAGTAGTAGTAGTCGTAGTACTAGTAGTACTAGTAGTACTAGTAGTACTAGTAGTACTAGTAGTACTAGTAGTAGGTACTAGTAGTAGTAGTAGTACTAGTAGTAGTACCAGTAGTAGTGGTAGTAGTAGTAGTAGTAGCAGCAGCAGCAGCAGCAGCAGTAGTAGTAGTAGTACTAGTACTAGTACTCAGTGGTAGCAATTGTAGCAGTAGAAGCAGCTGTGGTAGTCGTGGTGGTGGTGGTTGTGGTGGTCGTGGTGGTGGTGGTGCTGGTAGTGGTGGTGCTGGTTGTGGTGGTGGTGTTAGTGGAGTAGTAGCGATTTTGGTGGTGGTGGTGGTGTTGGTGGTGGTGGTGGTGGCGGTATAAGTTGTTGTTATTCTCGTCGTTGTAGGCATGCCCGGCATGCATGGTTGATGTCGTGTTAGCAACAGCAGCAGCAGTAATAGCAACCGCAACAGCAGCTATCATTATCATTATTATCACTACTTTACACACAGTATACCCAAAGCCCTAAACAATAAATCCAAAAACCCTAAATATCGTTCCTGGGCCCCATTGGATGCAAAATCTTAATCGGGAGTCAACTTTCCACTTGAATTCTGTATTATATTGCTAATGAACGGGCCCGGCCTCCTGAACGAGGTGGCGGCGAGGGCGTCTCAGCATCGCCAGGCTTAGCATCTTCGGACCTGAACCGAATTAAATATTAAGTAAGATCCCTTTTGGATGAACCCACGAAACGACCTCAGACTCTGGCTTGCCGGCTTGCGAATCCTTGGAACCTTTGGCCCTTTGGAGCAAAGTCTTTGCATTTGCGATGGCAGCTTGTGCGGCCGCAGACACCATGATTGCTAGTGTACGACAGATATGAGAGATACACGGAATTGAAACCATCGAATGTACTCCATATGCACACTACTTATGCCAAGATCATCTATTGCACTTGCTCGACCCGGCAGCTGAATGGACTCAGGGCGATTCAAGCATGGCACAAAAGAATGGCAAATCATCCTGTGTCTTTATTATCCTAGGTTGTTTTTTGTGGCTTGGGCTTCTCTTGGATTGGCTTTCTAGGGTTGTTTTGGGGTGGTTTGCGTTTTTTTTTTTTGGGTGCGTTTTTGCGTTATTTTAGGATTTTTTGGATTTTTTAACGAAATTTAGGACTACCATATCTCTGTCTTTCCTCGCCTAATCCCTGTCTTTCCTCCTGCCAGGGCTGTCTTTCCGCGCCAAATCTCTGTCTTAGGATTTTCATGGTTTTTATGGGAAATTTAGGGAGTTGTTGGGGCTTTTTTGGGATTTTTTTGTTTTTTTAGGACCACAGAAGCTACTTGGAACTGACAGGCTTGCATTCTGCCATTTTTAGGCGCTTCGCTTCCCTTTGATCGATCCCAGGCATGATCCGGGGACGGTGCATAGAATTAGAAATGCAATGCCAGACCAGCAGTGCTAGATCCCGGGGCCCGGGGCCAGTACTAAATATGGTCGAAGTCAATCCCAGCTGATCCGTGCCAGGGCCCGGGGCCACTATTAAAATTGGTCGAAATCACCTGAGCCAGCAGGTCGCTGCCTATTCAGGAAACCCTGGAATAATCCGAAAACAGAGACAAGACTCATAATTTGGAACAAGCACAGCCAGCAGCAACAACAACACGTGACAGTCAAGAGCTTCTCCTCGAATATCTAGTAATGAATCTATTATCCCGAAAAGCTAGATAACCTGAAGGCGAGCTCTGGTCACGTGGCAGCGTCCAGAAACACTGTCAGCAGCTTGACTGCAGGAAGATCAATTAGCACCGAAACTATTTTTGATCTCGGCGGAATCAACTGAACTAACATTAGATCACCGATAATCCACCTGCGTCGTCTCAAGAAAAAAAACCCTGCTCTCTGGCACATACCTGCCTGCTGCCTTTTCTGCCAGCAAGAAAAGCCTCAGCGGCCGCAGATCTGCATCCCGCCACACTTGGCTGCATATGCATGGCACCTGGCAACGACATGACAATGATTATAATGTGGCAAGAAAGAATGCACCAGATCGATATATACTTCAGGCGGTCGAAATCCCAGCCTCCTTGATCACATGAAACCACACAGAATTTTCCATGCATCCGTAGACGGAGTGTCGAAGGTGGCCTTGCTTGTTCACCTGAGATGAGGATAACAAATTCAATCATGTCTAGCCAATATGCGATTGCAAGTATAACTAATCTAGTAGTTATATTCTGCCATGTTTCGATGTCGGTCTCGTGCTCCCGACAAATTTCTTGGCCGACGGATAAAGACCGGGTCGGTTTCATCGCGGTATTGGTCCTAAGCTGGATGGATGAATTCGCGACTGCGTGGTGCAATTGTGGTCATTATGAGTTTGCGGCTGAGAAGCTTGTGCTTTCGCTTCTGAATGGTCTTTTTGACCCCGGCTATGGTGCTAGTGCTGCAGCTCTCCGTCCACCTCAGTGTGGACACGTGCACACGTACAAGTATTATTAGACCATCTCCAGCTAGGAGCCGCTTCGAGAAGTGCCACGGCAAATAAGCAGTGATCCTTTCCATAGCTGCCGCTTCGGTCTGGTCGAGGGAACGTAGGCTGAAATACACAGCCCTCGCGGTCGCCAGGACCAGCAAACAGGCAACTCGGCTCGTCAGCCTCATATGCGATCGTCATGAAGCATGTCGACAGTATTCTCAGCTAGACATCATGAATGAAATCAAAGGACTGCACGAAAGTTAAGCCATGGTTCATCTGGCAGAATCGGACATCCTGCTTGCTGCTGCATTTCGCCGCGATACAAATCGTAAAGCAAGCATAAGGGCAGCAGGCAATCCCATCTTCTCGAATCCGAAGAAGCATCTGTAGACATTTCAAGAAGCCAGGCCTAGTGCAAGTACTACACATCTGGAAGACTTCGCAAAACGAAGCGTTATTATCCGATGCAAGCAAAGGACACAGTGCTGAGGTCTGCATCGTGGTCGGATCGTTGAAGAATATCGAAACATTCGCGACCCCTTGGATTGAAAAGAACCCACAGAGACATTATATGTCCAATCCCATGCAAGGCATTTTGGCCAAGCTGCTGGGCGATCTGGTCTGCTATCCCACCTGGGCTGTGCCGGGACTTGGCAAGCATCCGCGAAGGCTCTAGATCTCGATTCATCCCGGTACAGATACACCCCAAACCGAACCCCCAAACCCTCATCCCCAAATCCAGCTATTCACGAGCTTTTCTGTCTCAGAACATCAAAAGGTCAATAAAGTTATTTAAGCGGGCATACACGTGCACATGCATGTGGATTCTTTGGTATCACCGTAAAACTTGGGCCTAGTTGATGCGAGATAGAGAGTTGGGGTTCCTAGCTCTTCTCTGCTTAACGATCCAAATCTGGCAATTCAGGCATCATGCTTGGCCAAGGAGCAGGATTCTTCGTAAACATGTTTCGGACTGGCGAAGAAATGCATGGCATCCAGGTCCTAGGCGGCCGCGAAATTTTAGGGTTTAGGGTTTAAGGTCTAGGGTAATT